TCCTAAAGACCCCACTCCTGAATACTATTATATTGAGGGTTAAGTTTCAACTGAATCTTGGAGGGACATGAACATTCCAAGATAGCAAGATTTATGGCACTGTTCTATTTAGAGTAGATATTTTATAAACTAAAAAATCAAAACCATATATGATATCCACATGCAAAAGAATGAAGTTGGACTCCTTTCCATACAAAAAAATTAACTCCAAATGGATAATAGACCTAAATATAAGAGCTAAAACTATAAAACTCTTAGAAGAAAACATAGGAATAAATCTTCATAATCTTGGATTAGGCAGAACCTTCTTAGACATGGCATTAAAAGTAGAAGCAACAAAAGAAAAAAAATAGATAAATTGAACTTCAACAAAAGTAAAACTTTTTTTTTTTTTTTTTGAGACAGTGTCTCGATCTGTCACCCAGGCCAGAGCAAAGTGGTACAATCTTGGCTCACTGAAGCCTCGACCCCCAAGAAATCCTCCCACCTAAGCCTCCTGAGTAGCCTGGACTACAGGGGTGTGCCACCACTCCCAGCTAATTTGGTTTTTTATTGTTTTTTTTTTTTTTAGAGACAGGGGCTTGCCGTGTTGCCCAGGCTGGTCTTGAACTCCTGGGCTCAAGCAATCCTTCCACTTCGGCCTCCCGAATAGCCGGAACTACAGGCACACATCACCACACCTGGCTAATTTTTGTATTTTTTGTAGAGACAGGGTTTTGCCACATTGCCTAGGTTGGTCTTGAATTCCTGGACTTAAGCAATCCTCCCGCCTTGGCCTCCCAAAGTGCTGGCATTACAGGTGTGAGCCACCATGCCTGGCCAAAAACAAAACATATTTATACTTCAAGGGCACCCTCAAGAAAATGAAAAGAAAGACAACTGCCAAAATAGGAAAAAAAAAATTGCAAATTCTATATCTGATAAGGGTCTAGAAGCCAAAATGTAGAAAAAACGATTACAATTCCACAATAAAAAGACAACTCAGTTCAAAATAGGGGTAAAGGACTTGAATAGACATTTCTCCAAAGAAGGTATACAAATGGCCAATAAGCATATGGAAAGATGTTCAACTTCATTAGCCACTGGGAAGATTCAAGTCAAAACCACAATGAGGTATGACTTCACACCCACTAGGATGGCTATAATCGAGGTTTGGCAAGGAACTAGTGGAACCTTGGTTTGATTTGGAAAGGAGGAATTAAAACTCTCATAAGCTGCTGGAGAAATGCAAAATGATGCAATCACGTTGGGAAACAGTTCCTCAAAAAGTTAAACCTAGAGTTACCACACGTCCCAGCAATTCCACTCCTAGATATATACCCATGAGAAATGGAAACATATGTACACACCTGTACACAAATGTTCATAACGGCATTATTGATAACAGCCAAAAGGTAGAAACAACCCAAACATCCATCAATTATGAATCAGTAAACAAATTGTGGTACGTCCATACAATGTAATACTATTCAGCCAAGAAACGGACTAAAGTACTGATACATGCTACAACATGGATGAACCTTGAAAGTATTATATTAAATGAAACAAGCTAGACACAAAAGGCCACGTATCCTATGATTCTTTTTATATGAATTGTCAAAAATGGGAAAATTAACAGAGACATAAAGTAGATTAATGTTATGAAGAAATGAGAAATGGCTGTGCACAGTGGCTCACGCCTATAATCCCAGCACTTTGGGAGGCCAAAGTGGGCAGATCACTTGCAGGTCAGGAGTTCAAGACCAGCCTGGCCATCATGGTGAAACCCCATCTCTACTAAAAATACAAAAAAAAAAAAATTAGCCAGACGTGGTGGCATGTGCCTGTAGTCCCAGCTACTGGGGAGGCTGAGGTGAGAGAATCGCTTGAACCTGGGAGGCAGAGGTTGCAATAAGCCAAGATCACGCCACCGCACTCCAGTCTGAGTGACAAAACAAGACTTCATCTCAAAAAAAAAAAAAAAAAGGAAAGAAAGAAAAAGAAATGAGAAATGACCACCAGTGGGTATAGGTTTTCTTTATGGAGAGTGATAAAGATGTTCTAAATTGACTGTAGCAGTGGCTGTACAACTCTGTGAACATACGAAAAGCCGTTGAATCGTATACTTGAAATGGGTGAATTATATGGTATGTGAATTACATCTCAATAAAGTTGTTACTAAAGAAAACCATATACATGGTGTCTGGTGATTGAACAAATTATGCACTTGTTGAAACTTGTGTCTGAGGAAAAACTGTGCTTAATGCACATTCAAGTGTCAAGTTTCAGAGGGACAGGAGGACAGCTGTCATCAGTTAAACGAGCCAAAAACAGTCATCAACCTCAATGTCATTTTGGCTCTTTAATGGATGCCCTAACAACCACCAGCATCTCTTGGGCATTAGCCACATCGTAAGCCACTTGAAACCTGCCATATGCACATTTTATCATTAGCTGGAAGGATTTGTAGAATTCCAAAGTCATCTCTTTGATTTTATAGATGAGGAAACTAATGCTCAGAAAGGGGGTTGATATCTACCGCTGTGAGGCATACAGTAAGTTTCGGGTGAAGCTGGGATCAGAACCTGTTTAGACTTTGCCTCTCTTTTCTTGCAGATACTTTGTAGGACTTCTATGTCCCTCCAACTGGCCTTCCTGTCATGGTCAGGAAAGAAACTCCTCACAGCCTTAGCATCCAAGTCAGGCCATGGGTGAGAGCTGGAAAGGGATCAGGAGGCTGCAATTTCTAGAAGAGGGAGGGGACACCGCAGAGAGAAGATGGGGCCAGATTCCGAGAAGACAGCATAAGCCCCTGTTCCTGTAAGAGTAGGGACGCAAGCAGGGACATAAACGCAAGGGATGAGCCCCAAAGTGTGACCCATGAGACATGATGTCGCATGTGGTCTGGAGCCTGCGGCTACTTCTTCCCATCATATACACAGTTATGAGAACAAGTTGTGAGAACCACCTCCCCCCTTACCCAGCTGCCCCCACCCCAGAAGCCATGTGATTTTGTCCCCCAGTGCCCTGTGAGTGAGTCACTCCACCCATGGAAACCTCACCCCACCCTGACCTCAAGCAAGGCAAAGAGTGCAGAAGACACGTCCTCTGGTGCTACCAGACCACTCTCACCAGCACCTATGACCTCAGTAGGGCTGGGGCCAGCGTGGAGACCACTGGCTGTGCTCACAAAGTGAGGAGCAGGAGACCCTGTCTGAGGAACATGCTCGGGGTTCAGAGCCTGGGCTAGACTGGGATGCAGGTTGAGCAGGAAGTGGATGGCAAGATTAGAGCAACATCTCTCTTTCCCCACTCAGGGAGGAGGGAATGGTCACAGGCACTGACACTCAAGAAGGGCCAGGCACAGTTCCAAGCCCTTCACAACAACCCCTAGGGTCTACATGACTACTATCCCAATTGTTCAGTGAAGAAACTGAGGCACAGTGAGGCTGAAGAACCCTACCAGTCCACACCGCTGGTGTATAACCGAGCTGGCCAAGACTCGGCAATCTGGCGTGCAGGCCCACACTCTCAGCCCCACCTCTGCATGCCTCTTACATCCCGCACATGTGATGCTGTGCGTCAGAAGCAAGGAGATGGCCCTGCTGGCCTGATCATCAACACCAGGACCGGGTCTTGAAGTCCTCAGCGCCCCGTCCTCCTCTGCCTGTGTGTCCTGAGTCCCGAAGCCCCAGCAGCTCTGCTCGGCAGATGAGCCTCTGGCCCTGCTGCTCGCTTCCTGAGGGCTGTCAGTGGGGGGCCGGATGAGGGCTGAGGACAGGGTGGGTGCTCGTGGGAGGGGAGAGCACAAAGGACCTGTGACCACAGCTGGGGGCGGGGCAGGAAGTAGAAGTGATCTGAGTGGTGGCTGGTGCAAGGAGCCACAGTGGGCTGCCTGGGGGGCTGACGCCACCATTCCAGGAGCCTCGGTGAAGAGAGGACATCCGCCTGTGTAGTTGCTTCTCCATACGGGACTCCAGGTAAGGAGAGAGCAGGGACCTGGGGGCCTGGGGCTCTGGGTGGAGGGGAAGAGCCTGATGGAGCAGGAAGTACCGTGACCTAAAAGACAAGACACCTGGGTCACAGACAGCGCCAATCACTAACTCGCTGGGCAGCCCTGTGCCCACCCTGGGCCTCAGTTTCCTCTTGTATGAAATGAAGAGGTAGCATGCAGTTTCTAAGGCCCTGCAAGAGCTGACATTAAAGCTTCTAAGAAAGATGGCAAGAGGCTCCCTGGGACAGAATACCATAAGAGTCAGGATGAAGGTTGAGTTCCCTGGATTAAGGTTATGACCGTGCCCGCCTCCTAGCTGGGATGAGCCCAGGGCATTTGAAGATTCCCCTGGCCTCTTTGCCTCCCTGGGGCGAGTCATGCTGCCTGGAATTCCACCCTTCAAGTCACACCTTTGGGCAGGGCATGGAGGCTCCAGCTACAATGGGGGCTCTCCATAGCCCTCTTGTGTCAGAGCCTGTGGTACCCAAGGGGAAAGACCTTTGAAGAGCTCACCTTGGATAAGGTTAGAGAAAGGAGGTTCCAGATTGTAACAGGCCTGGGTGAGGCCCCAGAAACACCTTAAAATTAGGAAGAACTTTCTAAACAATCGTTGCCCATAGTAGGCAACAGGGGGGCCCCTGTCACTGCTAAAGGCCGCAGAGCTTGGCAGGGAGTGGCAAAGAGGGGAGGGGCAGCAGGAGGGGATCTGAAGAGCAAACTTCAAGGCCTCTCCCCACACAAGATCCAAGGGTGTGGTCAGGTTGGCAGCTTTTCCTTTGTTTGTTTGTTTGTTTGTTTTGGACAGAGTCTCACTCTGTCACCCAGGCTGGAGTGCAATGGTGCGATCTTGGCTCACTGCAACCTCCGCCTCCCGGGTTCAAGCGATTCTCCTGTCTCAGCTTCCTGAGTAGCTGGGATTACAGGCACCTGCCACCACGCCCATCTAATTTTTGTATTTTTAGTAGAGAGGGGGTTTTGACATGTTGGCCAGGCTGGTCTCGAACTTTTGACCTCCAGTGATCCGCCCGCCTCGGCCTCCCAAAGTGTTGGGATTATAGGTGTGAGCCACCACACCTGGCCAGGTCGGCAGCTTTTATTCTAGAGTTCTTCCATAAAGCTCTGAGGAAGGGCCCCAAAGGGAAAATGGGAAGAATAGGGGCAATATAGGACCTCATTTCTCTTCCAATTCTGTTAAGGGCTCAGTGGGAGGGAGAGAGGTTAGAGAGAGTGACAGAGACAGAGAAGCAGAGTGAGTCAGGGTGGGCGAAGGGTGGCTTGTTCTGGGGCCAAAAATGACACTTCTCCAGAATGAAGGCTTCCTCAGGTCCCCAGGCCCCTCCCCAAATCTGCTACAGCTACTCTGTCCCCTCTTCTGTGGCCACAGCCCCCTCCCCACCACCCACAGTTGTGTCCTGGGGACAGAGTCATCCACCTAGATCCCCATTAGACCTTAGGGGAATTCTAGCAAGGGGCTCCCCTTGGCTGTGTGACCCTGCGCAGGGCTTTTCCCCTCTCTGGGCCCATCTGTACAATGTGGGGGCTGAACCAGGCCTATAAGGGACATACCAGCTCTGACATTCATTGAATAATGACTTAAGAGATATCTCAGCTCCTCCCCTTCCATGTGCCCTGATAATCCGTGGCTATGGGGGAAAGGAGCAGTCATCCTCCATCCTTCCACCCATGGCTTCCCAGAGCCCAAGTGCCCCCTGTCTCTGCAGCTCCATGGCGGCCTGCCTGCTCCTCCTGGGCATCCTTCTCCTGCTGCTGCCCCTGCCGGTCCCTGCTCCCTGCCACACAGCCACACGCTCAGAGTGCAAGCGCAGCCACAAGTTTGTGCCCGGTGCATGGCTGGCCGGGGAGGGTGTGGACGTGACCAGCCTCCGCCGCTCGGGCTCCTTCCCAGTAGACACACAAAGGTTCCTGCGGCCCGACGGCACCTGCACCCTCTGTGAAAATGCCCTACAGGAGGGCACCCTCCAGCGCCTGCCCCTGGCACTCACCAACTGGCGGGCCCAGGGCTCTGGCTGCCAGCGCCATGTAACCAGGGCCAAAGTCAGCTCCACTGAAGCTGTGGCCCGGGATGCGGCTCGTAGCATCCGCAACGACTGGAAGGTGGGGCTGGATGTGACTCCCCACCCCGCCGGCAACGTGCATGTGTCTGTGGCCGGCTCACACTCACAGGCAGCCAACTTTGCAGCCCAGAAGACCCACCAGGACCAGTACAGCTTCAGCACTGACACAGTGGAGTGTCGCTTCTACAGGTGAGAGCTGGGGCTAGGGGGTGGGGGGCTGGAAAAGGTGTGAGAAACTCTGGGTGGTCTAGGAGCCCTGGAAAGGCAGAGTCCTCCAATCAAACTTGGAGGCTGCTTCTACCAGGAAGAAACCGCAGTCCCGGCTCCCAGACTTCAGGTGATTCAGCCCTGTGGCCTCCTCTCATCCACGAGGTCCCCCATCTGAGAGTGCCCAGTGAGACACCAAGTAGAGAGAAAGTGAGTGAGACCATGTCTGAGAGCCAGCAGGGTGCCATTTAGGTCTAGTGAGTACTCAACCCTCCCTTTCCTGGGCACAGCCAGCCTTCCATGGAGTCCTTCCTGGATAGGGACAGAGGTGGGAGACCTGGCCGGGTCATCCTTCCTCATTGCTGTGTAACCTTGAACATCTCACTTCTCTCTGAGCTTCAATCATCCACTCAACCAATACTCACATCTCCCTGTGGCAGGGCCACACTGCTGAGCCACAGCAGTTGCTACCCTAGCCCCTGGGAGTAGGAATTCTGGGACCCAGATTCCACATCTGAGAAAGGCACAGTGTTTGTGGGCCAGCCCCAAGTCACCTGCTCTGATTCCTCAGACCTGGAGGCCACGTTTCCTCCACAGAGAGGCCGAGTATGGCCCAAGCTGTCAGGATCCCGGGCACATGGGACCCATACAGAGGGACAGATGGATGAAGGCCACATGACCAGATTCCAAAGTCCAATGGATACCATCAGTGCAGGATCATTGCTTTTATGTTCTTTTTTTCTTTTTCTTAAAAAATATAATTAGAGATAGGGTCTCACTATGTTGCCCAGGCTGGTCTCAAACCCCTGGGCTCAAGGGATCCTCCCGCCTCAGCCTCCCAAAGTGCTGTGGTTACAGGCGTGAGCCACCGTGCCCGGCCAGGATCATTGCTTTTATAATAAGAAAATTAAAAGGAAAGGAAAAAAAATGTTATTTTGAAAAGGAAAGGAGAAAACACCTACACAGAGCACTGAGGACCCTGACGGGTGAGAGCGGAGGCACCCTGCCAGCCCCATGCCACAGCACTTGCACTCTGGAGGCCCCTGGGTTCCAGTCCTAGTTCTGCCCACTTACGTGTGACCTTGAGCAGTCCTCAAGGAGTTGTTTTATTGAATGGGGGAAATACTATCCCTGGGCCCAGCTGAGGTCTCTCTCTTCTCACAGTTACCATGTGGTACACACTCCCCCGCTGCACCCTGACTTCAAGAGGGCCCTTGGGGACCTGCCCCTCCACTTCAACGCCTCCACCCAGCCCGCCTACCTCAGGCTCATCTCCAACTACGGCACCCACTTCATCCGGGCTGTGGAGCTGGGCGGCCGCATCTCGGCCCTCACTGCCCTGCGCACCTGTGAACTGGCCCTGGAAGGGCTCACGGACGACGAGGTGGATGACTGCCTGAACGTCGAGGCCCAGGTCAACATAGGCGCCCGCGGCAGCTCCTCTGCCGAAGCCAAAGCCTGTGAGGAGAAGAAGAAGAAGCACAAGATGACGGCCTCCTTCCACCAAACCTACCGGGAGCGCCATTCGGAAGTGGTTGGCGGCCATCACACCTCCATTAACGACCTGCTGTTCGGGAGCCAGGCCGGGCCCGAGCAGTACTCGGCCTGGGTGAACTCGCTGCTTGGCAGCCCTGGCCTGGTGGACTACAGCCTGGAACCCCTGCATGTGCTGCTGGACAGCCAGGACCCGCGGCGGGAGGCACTGAGGAGGGCCCTGAGTCAGTACCTGACGGACAGGGCTCGCTGGAGGGACTGCAGCCGGCCGTGCCCACCGGGGCGGCAGAAGAGCCCCCGAGACCCGTGCCAGTGTGTGTGCCATGGCTCAGCGGTCACCACCCAGGACTGCTGCCCTCGACAGAGGGGCCTGGCCCAGCTGGAGGTGACCTTCATCCAAGCGTGGGGCCTGTGGGGGGACTGGTTCACTGCCACCGATGCCTATGTGAAGGTGTTCTTTGGTGGCCAGGAGCTCAGGACGAACACCCAGTGGAGCAATAACAACCCCATCTGGTCAATGCCGCTGGACTTTGGGGATGTGCTCCTGGCCACAGGGGGGCCCCTGAGGTTGCAGGTCTGGGATCAGGACTCTGGCTGGGACGATGACCTCCTTGGCACCTGTGATCAGGCTCCCAAGTCTGGTTCCCATGAGGCGAGATGCAACCTGAAACATGGCCACCTGAAATTCCGCTATCACGCCAGGTGCTTGCCCCACCTGGGAGGAGGCACCTGCCTGGACTACGTCCCCCAAATGCTTCTGGGGGAGCCTCCAGGAAACCGGAGTGGGGCCGTGTGGTGAGAACAGTGAGCTTGGAGAGGACTCGTGTGCTTAGACTGAAGGGGTTCTCACAGTGGGAGCCAGGGCTGTCTTCATATTCCCATTAGACCAAGCTCGTCCAACCGGAGGCCCGCATGTGGCCCGGGGTGGCTTTGAATGTGGCCCAACACAAATTCGCAAACTTTCTTAAAACATTATGAGATTTTTGTTTTGTGATTTTTTTTTTTTTTAGCTCATCAGCTATGGTTGGTGTTAGTGTATTTTATGTGTGGCCCAACACAATTCTTCTTCCGATGTGGCCCAGAGAAGCCAAAAGATTGGACACCCGTCAGATAGATGGAAAAGGGAGACTCAGACTATTTTTCAGGGAGGTGGCTGGGTATACACGCCAACCCCGACTCACCCTGTCCAAACTGCCTAAGCCCCCCGTCATTCTCAAGCCCTGCAGTCACAGCTACACAAATCACAGCTTCAGCCAGGAGCTGGGCAGAAAGGCCAAGCTCCCACCAGGCTGCCCAGGACTGGTCTTTTAGGACCCTTCCCTTGAGCCCTCTGTGGTGTGGCAAAGCCACTTCATTGCTTTAACTGGAGTTCCATCAGCTCCAGCTGCTCTGTCTTCCTTGCCCACAATGCTTTGCCCCTGAGACAAATGGAGGCCTGTCCTGACCTGTCTTACCGTGTACATAGCTTGATAAAGGGCCAATAAATCTGATGTTCTGGTGATCATCATGGCAGTGTTGCGGCAGAGGAAAAGATGGGACCAAACAAACTCCAGAGATAAACTTCGACATTAGCAACCCAGTGAAAACAGGCGGGCAGGTAACGTATATAAACTACTTTCCCACTTCTGTCAGAAACGTGGGGACCCAAAATATTTTACCTTCCTCATAATTCTCTGACTCAAGAAAGCAGCAGCATAAACGTGGTGATAAATGGCAACAGGCATTCAGCTCCCAGCTGGAAGACAATAGGGCATGGTGAGGACTGTGGTGAACTGAAGAGTGCGCATTTTATGTGCGGGGGGAGGGGCTGCAGTGCTGCTCCAGCCAAACATTTCATGCAGGAACGTGAGCCCCGTACTGCCAGGTCTTCTACTTTTTAAAAGTCAGACCACAATTTGACTTCTAACTGTGGCAGTTAATTTCACTTTGTGAAAATAAACCTTTGTGGGCAAACACGGTGCAAGCCAACGAGAACGTGCATGTGGGCCATAATTGATCCAGGGTTATCTGTTTTGAAAGTTTTACTTTCAACAGAACCCTTTTGCACAAAGCTGAAAAGCTCTCCCCTGTCTCACGATTTCAAGGAAAGGAACATTGGTTCTAACAAGGTGGGCTCTGTGGGCCTCCTAGGCCTTGGATGCAGAAAAACCCAGAGTCTCGGGTTCCAACATAAGATGAAATGGTCTTTGTTTCACGTGCCTGGGACGCAGGCCTCAGCACACAGTCCCATGGAGTGGGTGGCAAGATTCCAGGTGGCTTCCTGGACACGGCTGTGCAGGCTGTGCAGGGTCATTGTCAGAGGGTCCAGAGGATCGGGCACAGCCCTTCCGACTCTCTTTGAAACTCCCTATAAACTAAGTTCTTTGAAGTTTGTATGGGACCCACAGGCCCAAATGCCAAGCAGTGACATTACACTAACCCTAAATCCCCAGGTGGGGCAGGAGGGGTGACCAAGGACCAAAAGCCTGGGTGAAACTACTGTTACCACATGTCCCATTCACAGACACACACTCAAACGAGAGCGTGAGAGAGACCTCGACACTTCACGGTGGCTGCTGCACTCACTGGAAACAAACATGGGGGTGGGCAGTGCCCCCCGGGGAAAGCAGGGTCACAAGGCCGGGGTGGGCCTGGCTCAGGGGACAGCCCTGACAAGAAATGGAAGTCTTGCTCAATTTCTATGTGGCAGTGACCCCCACAAGTCTCTCTGCCTCCTGGGCCCCAGTTTCTCCAAAAGGACAGTCTGTTTTACTCCCTTCTCAGGACTGTCTTGAGCCTTCCTGGTGCTACAGGAGGGTGCTGGAAGCTCGTCTGGTTTCATACACAGGGAAACTGAGACCTAGCAGGAGGAAGGGATTTAACTGTAGTCACAGAAGAAGTTAGTGCCAGAAAGAGCCAACCCTAACTCAAGACCCAGCATGACGTTTTCATTTCCACCCCGCCTGGACGTTGGGATGCTTTGGCACACCTGAGGCCCCCCTGTTTGTTTGGGGAAGTCTCCACTGTGCTAGCCACCTTCCGTTTGCCCTTCAGGTCTTGTCCCCACCTGCTCACCCTGCTCCGACCCAGAGGACTGACCTGTCTGAGCCTTGTCAGTGGGCAGATTAGGGAGGTGGAGTACAAATAGTAGGGCCTTTGCTCCTCTCCATGTCCCTAGTGAGGTGGGCTTGGGCTGGCTCTGTCCCTCGTGTCACTGCACCTCTCCAGGGGCCTCTGCACATCTCACTCTCTCTTTTTTTTTTTATTTTTTTTTCCGAATGCAGCTTGTTTGGTCCCATCTTTTCCTCTGCCACGACACCACCAGTCACCTTGGCTGGAGGTGCACTGGCATAATCTGGCTCAGTGCAGCCTTGACCTCCCAGGCTCAGTTGATCCTCCCACCTCAGCCTCCTGAGTAGCTGGGACTACGGCGCATGCCACCATGCCTGGCTAATTTTTGTACTTTTGGTAGAGGCGGGGTTTCTCCATGTTGCTGAACTCCTGAGTTCAAGCAATCCTCCCATCTCAGCCTCCCAAAGTGGTGGGATTACAGGTGTGAGCTACCACACCCGGCCTGCACGTCTCTTTCTTTCCCGGTTCTAGTAACTGCCCCTGCCCCTTGTCCCTTCAGACCTAGGGCTGGAAAACTTTGCTGCTGCTCATCCTAAGACACTGCACTATTTCTTCTACTCCCTACAGCTTAAGTCTGAATAAACCTTCCACCAATTATTGTAATTTGAGTCCAAATGTAGGAACCTGCACTGGGATGATACTGCCCAGGGGATGCAGGTGCCGACCTTGCTCCCCATGGAATCTGGAGCTGTCATTGCAGGAAGAGGGAGTTCCTGGGGCTGCTGGTGAGAGTGTCTAGGGATTATGGGGTCAGAGGAACAACCAGAGGTAGCTAGGGCTCTGCAACAGTGTCCCCACTGGGCCAGTCCGAGGCAGGATTTAGGGGCACTGTTCCTGGATGCTCAGGCTGCCCAGCCATCCAGGTGACTCTGTGAGATGCCCAGTTAACACATTCTTTTTCTACTTATCTCATCCAGACTTGGCTTCTTTTGCCTGCAGTTAAAAGCCCTGGTTGACAACACCATCCCCTTCCCCAACGCTAGTGGGGTCATGCCCTTGGAACCACCACACAATGGTCCCCCATCCCCTCTCTCCCATTGGCAGGAAGCACAGAAGCAGGGCTCCATTCACGTTCTCCATCATCTGACAGATTGTTACTGAATGCCTCTTCTATGATCCAGGTCCCGGGGCCCCCAAGGACAGAAAGTCATGCCGAGCACCTGTCCCCTTGAGGGCTGCATCCGACAGGAAGACAGACGTGGGCACACTGGAAGCCACAGGTAGTCAGGATGACATTCATTTTCATATGCACACCCAGTCCAAGGGGTCTCTTCCAAGACTTGGGGCTGGCATTGACAACAACCCAGGTTTTTTGTTTTTTGTGTTTTGTGTTTTTAGAGACGAGGTCTTGCTCTATCGCCCAGGCTGGAGTACAGTGGCACGATCATAGCTCAGTGCAGCCTTGACTCCTGGGCTCAAGTGATCCTCCCACCTCAGCTTCCTGAGTAGCTGGCATGCACCATGCCTGACTAATTTTTTAATGTTTTGCAGAGTCAGGATCTCTCCATGTTGCCCAGGTTGGTCTCAAACTCCTGGCCTCAAGTGATCCTCCCACCTTAGCCTCCCAAAGTGCTGGGATTACAGGCGTGAGCCACCGCACCCAGCCCCAGCTTTTGTTTTTTAAGCAGTTGCTGCAGCACCATCATCTCCCTCCATACACACTTTGTGGTCCTGACAAGCCGGCACAGTGAGCCTGGCATCTCTGATGTGTTTAGACAGAGGAGGTGCCTGCTGGAGGGGAGGTGGTGTAGGGGTGAGGGAGCAAGGGATTTCCTTGTGGTGAGGGGGCTGCTGCAGCCTTGGGAGGCTGTGGTTCCTCTTGCTCACCAGCATCTCCATTCCTCCACACCACTCCACATCCTGACATCTGCCGCTTCCTCATAACCACAGCCTCTCCAGCCCAGGCCCCCAGCATCACTTGCTTGGCCCTCTCCGCCTTTGGCCTCCTCACTGATCTCAGGGCTCGTGTATGCCCCTCACTCACCCTGCAGCCACGGTGATGCCAGCACCCTGCACAGATCCCCTCAGACCCCACCACAACAACCAGCCCCTGCACCTCTATCTAAGGCCTGTGCTGGGGCCCACCCTGCCTGCCCCATCAAGAGACCAGAAGTATTTGATAATAGTGTCCATGTCCCGCTCAGTCCAGAAAAACCCGCAACCAGTGGCTGAGGAAAGTTGGTGTATAAGTGCTCCAGCTCACTCCGTCCAGGGAATAACTGTAGGACATATGCCACACTGGCTCCCAGAGTTCTACAGCAGGTGGAAGCTCCATTTGCACACAGAAGTGACTTGCTTGACCACATACACCTTCTTGGCTGCCTCCCTTTCCTGTCTCACTACCGTACCCCCTCACTGGTATTTTCTGGAGTCACCCCCCCAGTGGAAACTATATACTTGTGGATCTGTGCCTCAGGGTCTGCCTCTGAGGAAACCAGCTAAGACACACATCTGACTGTGTCATTGACTGGCTCACACTCTATTGACTCCTTGTAGCTAAGTCCTCCTCAACCTTCAGCCTTCAGCTTCAGAGATCACTTACTCCAGGAAGCCTTCCCCGACTGCCCAGGTCTAGATCATGCTGTCCTCCACCCTTCTTCTGTAGTCCCCAGCGTTTCCCCATCATAGCACTGTGAAGCCACAAGCCATTTCTGTCTTACTCATGGTTGAATCAACTAGTCCAGCACCTGGCATAAATTTGATAAATAAAAAATATTGGATGGATGAGTAGATGGAAGATGAATGAGTGGATGAATGAACCCCACCAAGGAATTTTCCAGCCTCTGCTTGAACTCCCCCAGAGACAGAGAGTTCATTACCTCCTAAGGTAACTGTCCCACATTTAGAAGGTTCTAACCATGAGCTCTCATATTACACAGAAGTGAACCTCTACATAGAAGCCTACACAGTAGGCTACCTGCCACAGAAGCCTAACATCCACTCCTGGTTGTGGCTCAAGGATTCTATATATGTAAAACTCTGGTTTTAGCCAAACGTGTTAGTCCTAGCTATTTGGGAGGCTAAGGCAGGAGGATCACTTGAGCCCAGGAGGTCAAGGCTGCAGTGAGCTATGATCGTGCCACTGCACTCACTCCAGCCTAAGCAACAGAGTGAGACCCAGTCTCTAAAAATACATACATATATACACAAATCTCTGGCCCTGTTTTCAATGTGGTTAGGCAGAAGGACCACTGGGCTGATTCCAGTCCATGCAGCAGCTTCCCCTCACTCTCCTTCCATGAAGGAGTCATGGAAGGGCCAGACACTGCCCAGGAGAAGGTGGAGCTGGGGCTGAGCCAGCCGCCCCTCTTCCCTGTAGCTGACAACAGAAGTGAGACCCCCCGTCCTGGGAGGGATGGATGCTCTTGGTTGTTTGCTCTTGATTCTTTGT